CGAGTCGTTACGTATTCATGTACAGCTGCTACGAGAGAGATAACGGCGATCTGCTTCTCAGGCAAAATAAGAGATTGAGAGAAAGATCGAGGCGGAGATCGCGAGTGATGCTGTCTCGGTTTTCTATGCCGCGTTTGCTGTCCGGTTGTTTGTTTGTTTTTTTGTTTTTTTTTTTGTTTTTTTTGTGTGCTCTCGCGTGCGATATTAATATTTCCCTGACGTTAGTGTCAATGACACGCTAATAGATAAAACCTTATGTTTTTCACGTGGAAATATATTCGAGACTCTTGTAAATGATCAAATCAAAGAAGAATTGTTCCAAGTATTTCAAGTGCGCATGATCTTAATTTCGATTAGGAGCGTAATTTTCCTAATCATGAATCGAGATTTGCGAGTTTACAGGTAGAGAGAGAAAGAGAGAGAGAGAGAGAGAGAGCGATCCACATCAATATCGACGTTGGCATTTTCACACGCGAAAAGCAAGACCGCGATTTCTCATAAATGATTTCCTAATGGGTTTTTCGTAGTTATAATGGACAGTAATTACAAAATGGTTGCTCGTTAAAGTACATAGTTAATCCCAGAAAACTGGATTTACCGGGACTCGTGCAATAGACCATTGCTCCCATATTTCCCGTCGCAACTTTCACGCAATTGATCAAGCAAACACAAACTTCTGGTAGTATACAAAACACGTAACGAGCTACAATCTGTAATTGCGAAAAAGTAAAACTGCCGCGATATACATACACACACACACACATACAACATTCCGGATCTATTATTAAATCGATTAATAAATCCAATCGATACATTAACATTGTAAAAGACCTGGGCAACTGTGAGAATTGACGCGGCAACGTAGAAACTCGACTTTTATTTGCTCCTTTCTAAGATGGACCAGATTGGATCTAATCCGCCACCTTCGGAAGAAATTTGCCACGTCTCGACTATCGCCGTTCTTTGCAACAAGTCGACGATACAGCTTCGCAAACGTCGCGCGCACGCGCGCGTATGTGTGTGTGTGTGTATATGTGTGTGTGTGCGCGCACGATCGAGAAGATCCTCTTAATTCTCGTTTTCACGCATCGCCCTTCCTAGACTAAAGATCGCGCGCGCCGATAGCAACTAACTTGCAAATCGCTCCCGTCCTGTGCAAAAGCGAACAGCGCGACGCGCGGTAACGGCTGCGGTGCAGTCTTGACCTCCAATCTCACCTCAATTTGCCTACACGCCGCCATTTGCGTCAGCGAGAACGGAGAGAGAAAGAGAGAGAACGCCCTATCTAAAATTATGATCTGAAAAAGTCTTGGGCCGTGTGTTGCGCGTGTACGTGTTGTACGTGAGAGATCGAGCGCACGTGCATAATCGATTAATTATAGGAAATCGCGCATTATTATATATTTCGCGGCTAATTTATACCTTTTTAATCCGATGCGCCTTTTTTTTTGCGGCGAATTAATCAACAATCGACTCGTTGCTCATTATTATGCGTTCGTCAAACGACGACGGGGTTTATTATCGTTTTACTCAAAATACATGCTTCTCTTGTAAAAGATTACGAAGGTTCTAGGAATTTATAATGATAGATAATAACGTTCTGTTTAGATAATTTATCGTTTTTTATTTTTTTTTTTTTTTTTTTTTATTTGAGAAATCTTATTTAAATTCTTAGCTTGTGTGTTTACCTATGTTGTATACATATTTACTTGTCACGTTATTATTTAATGTATATTGACAGACTGATCGATATATTGCTGCAATTTACACACAATCTCGAATGTTCTAACGTCTTGTTGAAGAAACATAAATTTCGTAATTTCTCTTTTAGCTTTGCATGTAACGTTACGACTTAACGAACTTCCCCCAACAGATTTGCGAAACACATAGTGAATTCCGAGGTGCACCTGAACGCGATGACAAATAAGCACTTCCGGCGTGAGCACTCAACCGTGAAGAGGATTGCGATCGGTTGACTTTAATGCGAGTTAATCAACTTCTTAAATATCGCTCCCGAGCGTTTGCCTGCTTGCGAAGAATCGTTCTTACGTGTACGTAAAATAAACCGTTTATCTCGACCGGTGTTAATTTGCGGTACACCTGCTTTTTGACGAACACAACGAGAGTGGACGTTTTTCCCCCTCATTGCTTCGCACTTGGCTCGTCGAACGTCGCGTTTTCAGATATAATATTGGAAGCGCGATTACTCCGGCGGATAATTAATGCGATGTGTAACACACAACTATGTAAAAAATAACTGCAGAATGTACTGGTACAGAGAAATTTTTTCGAAACAAATTCGCAACTGCGCAAGTGCGAAGGTATCGATTGTACGCAATAAAGAAACGCCCGGACCGTTCTGTTAAACGTATTTACAAGCGTTTACGTTACATTTTTACAATCGGGACCGGAGTATTTATTCGTCAGACGAGAAGAAACGACGCTGCAGTGCGCCCTGATCGATTTAACGCCAAATGTCGCCGTGTTTTACACGCGGCAATAATGGTCGAAATCTATGTAGCCAATATTTCAAAGCCACCCTTTCCCCGCTTGTGTGCGTCCCCAGCCCTCACCGTGAATCGCGCTCACCGACGGACACGTAGCCTTGGTTATTGGTTCGCATATGGACACAAGTTCGATATTTCATATTCTACAGCGAAATGAAAGTATAAACGCGTAGTACGTGTTGTTCGTAAAACACAATCAATTCCTGTGCGGTGGCGGGAAATGAGTAAAAAAATTCTTAAATGCAATCTTTGAGAAATCAATCAGTAAAATATTTTCAAAAAAATGCACATTTGAACAAAATAAATAAACAAAATCTGAATTGTCGTTTTTTAATTTGTTTTTTACATAAAAATATTTTTATATTTCGAGAGACGCAAAGACGTGTAATTAATTCCACAGATTCGATCAAGTAGGCGAAAAGAAATTAAAACACTCTTCATTCTCATCGCATATCAGCCTGTTACTCAACAAGTGATTTACGATCTACTTATTGACTGTCTCACTAGGAATATCCGAAACTTGGATTTGTGTCGCTGTCGCGTTCTCGGGTGGAAAACACGATGTCGCAACACATGTGGTTCTCGCGCGAGAGTGTGTCCACGAGCCCGTAATATTTTAGGGAACCCTTCTCGGTCCTTTAAAAACCGGCCGATGCATATGTCGGCGTTAGGCGACATAATGTTATCAAACTGTCCAGAAAAGGAGCCGCGCGCGCGCTGCCGATCGCCGCCGCGCCAGAACCTCTCGGGGGAGCACGTCCTCGTTCTTCGCCCACTTCGTCCTTATTGATATACCGAATAAACACACTTGGCAAAGAGCTAGGTCGGGACGGCTTTGCGAAGCAAATAGCTTTGGAAGAACCCTACCGTCCGAGGGAATATCTTTCTTATCCCGACGTCCTATTTCCTATGCGCGACGCTGATAACAGCGATTGTGACAAAAAAACATGTCGCTTCGATTCGGGAAAAGATAAATTCATTTTTTCCGATAAATTATATTGTCGTCGTTAAGTCGTTCTACGCGAAGTAACAGAAGTTTTTCTTTGCTCTGCGAATGAATTTATCTTCGGCAATTCGGATTATGATTTTTTACATGAATATTAAAAAGCAAATAATTTCTCATATATTTAACAAACATTAGTTACATGTTTAAGAAACTAATGTTCTTTCATATTGCATAAACATACACCCTCTGAAGATCGACACGCTCGCGAAACGTCATTTACTTCTTAACATCGCTTTTGAAATCTCATTCGGTCTCCGGTTTCACCCTCGTGGCTTTTAAGTTTCGACCCTTATCGACCACACCGTTGGACTCACCTCGTCCGGCGGTTATCCAGTAAATAAAGATGAGTAGTTTCTTTCTCGTATATAATACACACGCGCGTACACAATTCCGTGTGTGTGTGTGTGTAGCAACGGAACGACGGTTTTAAATTCCGCGAGTCAAAGAGCAATGTTTGACATGGAAATGTTGAGCAATGCATTAAACATACCGCGCGCCGAGTGCTTTCTTCCCCTCCCGTAAGATCCACCGCTTTTCCCCGTACAGACGAAAAGCGTACGGGGCCCGATCGTATATAACCTATGAACTCCGGACCCGAACAATCTCCCTCGCATAATGCGTCCGAGACGATGTGTTTATTTAGGCAAACGAGAAAAATCATCGTTCTGCCGGGTATTTATATAGTGAGCGCTCTCGAAATAAACGTTCGATGATCAGCGCCGATAACGCAGCTCCGATATAACAAGAAGTGGAACAACTATCTTAACTTCGAGAACGATAAACGTACATTGCCCTTAGTTTGTTTCATATCTATGTTTAATTATTTACCTATCCAGTTTGAAAAGCTAATGTACTTTGATGTCTGGTATTACAGTGTGATACGTAACATTTCAGTGAAATTGCCACTTGTAATTTCATTGCTGCTAAACGCGAGTTCTAGATTCCTCTCAAATTCTTGACGTGACATGCAAAGTTTATAAATCGCCCTATCATTATCGTCGGCGAATTGCGCGAAGCGGTGCGAGCCGAGATGAGCGTCGCAAATCCCCGAGTTGTGATTGGCAGAGAGCGCGAGGTTGGCCGAGGGTCGGAAATACGCACCTGTGAGACAGGCAGTTTCAATGGACCGTTCCGTAAAAGGAACTTCGCCCATTGTCCGGCAAATGACATCAAGCTTATTGCATTATTTAAAGAGCCTCGCTTTAAAGACCGCCTTAAACCACTGACCCTCGATTCGTCGAAGTGCCGCCACTGACGACGCACAAACGAGGTTTCTCACGGACGAATCGCGAGGGTGCGCGCGAGTCAGAATTCGATATTTTTGCTCCGTTAAAAAAAAAAAAAAAAAATAATGTTATTCATGTTGAAACAGTAAAAGGCAATATATTATATACCGCGCGATTCTTGAATTAAAAGTAAGTCTGTTTATTTTGGCATAATTATTTAAAGAGAGAGATCTAAAGAAAATTTTAATTCTTTGTACTTACCGGACGAGATGCCAAGCTTCGCATGAATGCTGCTGGAATTTCTGTGATCGGTGGTGGTAACAGCGGCGGCTAAGGGTGGTGACAGGTGGGGATGTATTAACGGCCCGCCACCTGTCGTCGTCGAGGTAGTCGTTGTGGCACAAGGATTTAAGGGTGATGTCCTCTTGAAAGACTGGTCTGTCCGCCACGCGACTTCATTGTCGCGTATCCAAACTTTACCTGTACACAAAAATTGAACAAACGTTCGATGTGTATAAAACAAACATGACAGCAAAAATATTTTTGGTCAAAATCATTAAAATATATTAATTATTGAGTATAAATTGTTATAGATAAATTAAATATATNTATGTTATAAAACAAAAGGTTTACTTATATAAATTTATATATAAATGTTTTGTTATTTTTTATGATATTTTTTAAAACTGTTCTAAAAAATATTTCTTATACGTAAACTACATTTTTTTTAAATTTTGTGTTAACACAAAACTTAAATGTTGCTTTTTGGAAAACGAAAGAAAAAAATATGCAGTTTTTTCTTCGACAGACTCTTGTTGGGCGATATCAGCAACGAACGATCAAATTGCAAAAGAGGTTCTTGAGATAAATTCTGCTCTGCGCGCGTATTAATATAACGCACACCGGCCCGTTTCTATGTGTGTGTGTGTGTGTGTGCAGAAAATGGTTTCTCTCCCCCGAACCAAGCCGTCGTAATTAGCGACCCTTCGAATCCCCTATTCCTGCGAGTTTTCCCGGTTTTCCCCCATTTCCCTTAATTTTTGGGAACAATGCCCGGCTTTGAATGTTGTTCCAGACTGCAGTGTCTAATTACACGGGGGCATGTATCGAGCTCTTCCTTTTCCCAAATTTGTAAGAGCGATATATATGGTGTGCCGAAATTCCTAAATACACGTGAAACATTTATATAATGTGTTATCGAAATATTCGGAAAAATTATACGAGACGATTATTATCGGCGTTTAGTGTTTGTACTTAAATAATTTAGCTCTTAGCATTTATATAAATTTCTTTAAAAACTTTGTAAATATATGTAGAATAACATATATTATTTTTTGTAAATAAATTTTAGTATCTTTAAACATTGTGTGTGTGTGTGCACTTCCAAATTTATTTAACAAATTTACATAATTTAACGTTGAGTAAAATGTATATGTGTAAATTTCCTATTTATTTGAAGAATAATCGTGTCTTTTCGAGCACCCCGTAGGTGACAGGCGTCTCGGGTTTATGGAACATGCGAATATCGGAATATCGCCCCCGCATGCGTGAGACGTGACTCAGATTCGGTATTATTTGCCTGACGAATAATTTAGCCTGAGATACTTAGCTCGCTTCTCCCTATCAGCACCGCCCTCCTACTCGTCTGCTTTCGTTCTCACCCCTTGGCAGAATAGCCAACCACCACCTCTCTCTTCGTTCTTATGTCGGTCGCCTAACGACGAGCTGAGAGGCGCGTTGCTTCAGAGACAGAAACACAGAAACCAGAAGAGACGAAAGGAGAAATGGAGGGGTGATGGCGTGAGGACGGGGAGAGAGTTCAGGGAGAGATGCACAGGAAAGCGACGGAAGATAGAACGAGGATGGTAACTAGAGCCCGTGGTTCCGCGAGAAAAAAGGAGAGAACGTTTTTCCTATCGAGAGGAAAAAGAGAGGCGAGAAACGCGGTGGGGCTGAAGAAAGTGTAGTCGGCGCTAACTAAGGGCGTCGGCTAATCAATATCATCAGAGAATGGCCGCTGACCTCCATCCACCCCGCTAGACCGACCATTGTCCGGCATCCGCGCTTTGTACGTTCAAACAGCCTTCGAACGTAAATAAAATAAAACTTATAACAAATTTTTTTAACGCACTTAAAAGAAAGAATGTGATTTCGAAACATCTTGTTTGGGGAATGTAATAACATCTGCACGTAATTTATTGTAAAAATATAATTATTTCAACTTTTCTTTTCGAGAAAACAATAAATTCGATGTAAAGTTGCCTCACAAGTTATTCGATAAAAAATCAATTACATAAAATTAAGTTTTATTCGTGTTATTGTTACTTGATCGGATTTTTCTATTTCAATGCAAAATCAATTATTGTTTCTCAAATTAGAATGAAGGGAAAAAGATTACACATTCGGAACGATGTCTCGATAGAATCTAATTTAGAAATGAAGAAGAGTTGCAACTAGCTTAATCTCTCGCTCGATCATAGAACCACGTCTCATTCGTCGGCCTGTCGATTTATCTACGCGTCCCCAGCGTCGTTCCTTTCTTCCACAACCAATGAGGGTCGCGGCTACATCCGAATGAAAACCAGTCCGCATAAACAGAGCCATCTATTCCGCGATCCTGTCCCTTCCTCTCTTCCGCTTTTTCCCTTCGTTCTTTGCATTCCCCCTCGTTCCTTCATTCGTTCAACTCGGCGCGAACTCCATTCTCGGGTTTATCACTGTCCAGATAACAACGATTTACCTACACGCGAACTTGTGCGGGTTGGATTTTGGGAAGAGGGTGCGTGTCCGCGTGGGGTTGTCGAATGGGGTGGGAACGAGGTGAAGGCTGTCCGGCGAGAAAGAGGCTAGAGACGGGACAGCCACCTTGCATTCGGGAGTATTTCACTTTAACGGCCCTCCGGGGGATTGGCTGACCCCGGTCGGGAGACCCTTCACCGTTTCGGCATAATGGACCTCTACATTACTTATTCGTCCTGGCCAATGTCCTGCCAGGCGTCTCCGTTCCCGACCACGGCGAGGCCGAAAGCCGCTCGTTTTCCACGTCATGTCGTTCCCGCGCGATGTGCGATTAATCGCGCGCGCGCGCGCGCGCGAGAACAAAGATATCGACTCGGGGAGGCCGCAATAAGAAATGGTTACTTACATCAGAAACGAAAAGCGGACGCTTAAATACGTGGACTCATCACGTCATGTATTACGCGCGCGTAATACAATCAGAGAAATTGCACGCGAGATATGTTTTTTTTTTTTTTTTTTTTTTCACGAAAATAAAACCATCACATGCACACGAACATTCGAAACTATTTTGAGAAAATGTGCGAGAACACGTGTGTGTTCCGAAGTTTTTCCTACCTGATCACGTATATTCCTACTTACTTTTACCAACAACGATAGCAAAGCCACCTCTGTTAATTCCAGCTTCCGGGTAACGGTCAGTAGCACGGAAAAACAACACGTCCCGAGCAAACTGCTCTCCCCGCGCGGCGCGCACAGGGCACTCGAAAGAATTGAAAATTCCTGCTCGTTCAAGAGTTGAGGAGGTCGACGAGCATGGTAGAATGAGAAAGCGAAACGTGGATAAAGCGTTCGATATAAGATTAATGCTAGAGGCCGCCGACCGGTTGGTGCGCACGTCGACGGCCGTTCAGCCATATACGACGGCAATGGTGATTCCTCTTTGAAGATAGAACCGTGAGCAGTGGCCAAATTGAATCCTGCTTAGGACAGAGGAAGCACCGATCGAACGGTGAAGACGGGAAGAGAGAAAAAGATTCGTCTTCGAGGGTTCCTTTCTCCAATAAATAAATCGCCGACCAACCGTGATTAACATTGACTGGCCGACGAACGCCGAAAATAATTGCCCGATTATGTTGTTTCTCAGTATCTCTCAGTTTTGTTTCTTCTTTTCAGCCTAAGTAAAAAGTTACATAGACGCATTTACGTGTTCTATTATTTAAAAAAAAAAAAAAAATTATGTAAAAAGAATTATATTGTAAAAAAAGTTGGAAAAAATTAGGAATTATTAATATCTTGTTAAGTTAAACTTTTGCTCGTTTAGTCGTTTTGTCGGTCAAAGTGAAAATTTCGATTATACGAGAGAGAAAGATAAAAGATCAGTATTTGTCGAGAGTTTCCCTATTTCTTGCCGGTTGCCCTTGTCGGACGACGATCGATAAAGCCAGCTCTTACTTCTCGCTCGCTCTAAGTATCTTTACACTCGCATTACGGTATTTCAACCGTTACATTCATGTTCAACACAGTGGCATTTATTGGTTAATTCAAGTTTAACATTTTCTCTCTCTGTAAAAATCGTTTCTAAGTCGCTCGGTATTCCTTAATATATTTTTTACATTGTAACATTATAAAATTAATACAAATATTTTAAATTATAAGAATTCGTTAGACACTAATTAAAAGTTACATATATAATGAAACAAATATTTTATACTTCTCTCGCATTTGTTTCTCTCTGCGACAACCGCCATTCTGTTACGCGAACTATCCCGCTTCGCCTCGTCCAATAAAAAACGTGAATAATAAAGAGACTCAGATTCGTCGAGGCAGGGGCCGAAGATACGCGGCAAGGGTTGTAAGCGCAAGCGCGAAACCGCCCCGCGAACGAGGGATACCAGATACCACCCCTCGACATAACTCCTTTTTCTCGACACCCAGCCAATCTGCATGTAACACGCGAGACAAAGCGCCATTTTGAATTTACAATCGATAAAGTGAAATTTTCCAGAATATAACTCTGGATTTCATCGATGTGAAAAAAACTTACATTGTTAATAAAAAAAAGATCTATAGACTCTTTGCGATTCAGACATTCAGAACAAAATTTAGCGCGGGGAACGTGAATCGGAAAAAATACATCAAAAATTACCAAGTTTACTCTAATCCATCGAAGAAACTGAAAAACACACGCAAGTCGAACACATTCAGAGAGAACTTTGCCGAGAATTCATCGACGCAACCGGAAGGGGGTGAAAAACCTCCGAAGCTCCGAGATGTAGGTAGTTTTTTAACGAGGGACAAGGGCTACGATTCGGAATAGCGATTTTAAAATCACAATGGGTACGCGCACGTCGTCAGAAAATCTACCCATCCCTTCGTATCTCCCTTTCCCCTCAACCACCGGCTAATGTCGCATCTGCGTTTGCCGCGCGCCTAAACGCTCGGAGAGAGAATCCTTCTTGCTTGTGCACGAGCCCAGAGGCCCTCTCGAGCGCGTGCATCGTGCGAGATTCATGCGTGTGTATGCGCGTAAACGTGCGATACGTGCGTGTGGCACACGTTTTCACAAAGAATCGGCGCAGGAACACAACCCCCTGCTGCCGATGCCACCTTCGGTGGTGCAGGAGGGGACGTGATCGAACACACCCCTTCCTCAAACATTTTAAACTTTTTTTTCCGAATCCCCCTCTACATACGGTCGCGCTTTACTAACGACGCTTAGCGAGTCCGCGTCGAGGAGGACG